CCCTTTTCACATTTATAGTCTATTTCAGCACCTGGCACACCATAGGTACACAATAATTACTGGCTGAATGAATGAGTAAGGAGATCATAATTTTCTAGGCTTAAAAAAACCAAGGTCAATGAATGAAAGCCATTTCTGTGACAATTGGGGCAATTGACCTATATTTTTACTTTATCTGTCTTGTGAGTCAAATCCGGCTAGTAATAATTTGGCTAAACAAACAGAACATATGTGTGGGCTTAGAATAATTAAAATGAAGAGGACACTGCATTCTATATTCTCCTTTGCCTTGTAAACTCTAAGACCAACTCATATCAAATTGCTGAGAACCTTTAGATGTAAAGCACAGAATTATGAAAAGCAGCCAAGCAAATGTGGACACATCACAGACGGAGCCTGAAGGAAGCTGGAGAGTATGAGAGACATTACACTACAGGAATGCAGGGACTTTAATAAAAGCAAAAGGCTTGGCACTGCTCCTGTGCTTGTCCACAGGACAGCTCTGAGCCCTCCCTTGCATACACTTTCTGATCTTGGTAGCTGAGAGAAATAATGGAGGTATTCTGCAGGGCCATAAAAGCCTTTCCTGATTTATTGACAAAGGCAGATACTGCAAAGGGGACAGAAACACTAACCAACAAGATGAGGTGCCTGGACCTCACTTACAGCATTTCCTTTACACTTCAGTGTATCACCCCCATTTTACGGATGCAGAAACAGGCACCTGTGGTTACACAGCTGGTCCTGCTGACCACACAGTAAGGTCTAACACGAACACATTTTTGTTAAGCACTCATTCCTGGTCAGAGTCTAGAGTCTAGGGAGAGAACTGTGAGCAAGACAAGAAAGGTCTGCCATCAGGACAGCTTACAGTTTCATGGAGAGAGTGTAACTTCAGACGTTGATACAACTCAGACATACTAAAAACGGAAAACTAAGGGATACGACAGAGTAACCAGGAAAGCAAGTTTAGGTCACAAAGCTTTCAGAGATAATTCCAAAGACAGTTTTGGAGAGAATTTGCAAAGCTAACGAAAATAGAGTGACTATCAAGCCAAACCTTCACTGGAAGTCTCTAGAACTACCAGAAATAAAAATTACCACTCATTCCCCGATTATCAGTAAAGAGAACTACACAGTTATCCTAGTCACAACCCAAGCAGTAAGTTACACGGCCACCAGATAGCAAGTATCTCCACATGCACCTAGTGGCTGGCAATGAGCTGAGCAACCTAAGTCGGAACTAATTCTTAGATTGCCTCAGAACTTACATCAGGACACAATAAATGACTGCTGAATGAATATGACAGAAGGAAGGAAAGAACGTGCTAAGAGGTTACCCTCATAGGTTAAATCTCTTCTAGCCAAGTGGCTTCAGCTCACTCCACCCCACTCTGAAGCCAGTCTTAATCACAAGAAGCAGGTGAGGGAAGTGGGATTAGTGTAAATACACCAACAATACTATACTAGGAAGCAGTTAGCATATGCCGACCCCTCTCTAGCCAGTGGTCAGAAATCCCATCTCCAAATCACAATTCTACTTAAAGAAAACCTAATATCTAAATGATAAATAAAAATTGAGAACTGGGTAATTCTTTGGCTTCTCTGAAGAGGCCTGCCAATGAAGAAACTTGGGAGATTTCCATTACCAAGTACCTGTTCTAAATATTGTAGGCATACCACCAAGCTGAGATGACCTGTTTAACAATCTTGCTGGATTGGTACTTCTCTGGAGGAACAGAGGACAGAGGTAAAGTACGTTCACCTGTGTCACCTTAGGGCTGTATCCAGTGTGAATTGTAGATGATTATACGATCTGAATTATAAAAATTAAATCCCTCTCTCAACTTTTTGGTCCTAGGGCAGCTGGGGAGAGTACTAGCTATCACTCAAGTTTCCTGCTCAGCATGTCTGAAGGTCTTATCCATTAGGGATCACTCTTTCAGTGTCCCTGGTACAGCTGAAGAGCCAGGAAAACCTTAGAATGGGGTAATTATTTGGCTTAGAAGCCTTAGCTTCTATTTTCAACTTTATGCCTGAAGGGCTGTCTAGGTGGCCAAGGCACGTAACAAGTGGCCATTTGCTGAACAACAGAGTTCAATTTGCATCATTCACCAAAGATACCTATACTTTCCGGAAATCATATGCAATGACTGAAAAACACTAAAATTAAAATACCATTTCTGATAAATGCCACCAATTTCTGTGATATTGCAGTGAAGAACCTGGGGCATTTCTTTCCAAGACAAATACTATAGAATCAGAGGTAGATCCAGCGTAAGAAAATACAGGTGGGGGCACATTCAGTAAGAATTATATTTACTTTCTCCAGTGAGAAACTTCTTCTTCTGCATAGGCCACCTCATTTTTGAAAAGTAAAACCACAACATGCGAGCTCTTATACCTCTGGGTTTTGCTCTTCCTAACATTGACCACAGCTTTAAAGTTTTAGGTTATCAACAGAAAACCTTCAACAAAAGGCACAAATTAAATACTACCCATATTCACACTGGAAGTGTTACTCATTTTTGTGTGCTCTGAGTCCCCATCGTTTTGGTGAGCCATGAGGATTTGCTTTGCAGGAGCTTAGATCCAAAATGGCAGCTGAGCTCCTGACCCCACCAGAGCCATCCTGCTCACCGTGAGTGAGTGCAGGTCTTATTTATCTCACCTTTCAACTGTCTCCAGAAAAAACAGTTAAAGAAGCACATCAGTGAATCAAATAGCATTCCACTAATGCTCCTAATATCATCCTCCTTTCTGCCTGCAAAGCAGGCATCCTGCTCTGGTTCCCCAGCTCTGCAAACTGAATTAACCCGCCATTCACATTTGTGCACAGTTCACAAAAACAGGCTAAGGGCAAAACATGGAAAGTCTACGTTTTCCTCTACTCTTCTGTGAAGCCAACTTAGGAAATGGGCATAAATGAATCATCTAACAAGTAAAGCCCCAAATAATGGCTTTCATTTTCAGGAAAAAAAAAAAAAAATCACAGCTCTAGTTTTCCTGAGGCCCACCCCAATGCAATACTCCTTAATCATTAAGTTAATTTCTTTTTCTTTAAATTCAAAGTGTAAAAATAAAAAGACAAGCCTACCTCCTTGATGTAATGTTTCCAATCCCTCTTACACAAAAGCTGAATTTATTATCACCAGAAAATTTACATTGAATATAAATGGTCACTTCTCCACTTGTAGCCATTACTAATATAACAACAACTTTAAGAAAATAATAAAATACTTGCTTTTTAGACAGAGGACTTTAATTATCTTTAAGTATTCAAATGAAAGTCTTTTTGTTAAATTAGCGTGAAAGTCCCTTCATCTACACACAATTGGCCCAAAGAAACAGGCCATTTTCAGCACAAGAGGCCAATCCATTTTAACAGTGAATAAAGCTTTTGAAATTACTACACACCCTCTTCCAGACTGTCAAATTTTCAAAATGGTCCAGCATTTTTCCCATTTTTTTTAACACTTTCAGACCCAGCAAGCATCTCATAATTAGATTAATTAAAAGGAAACAACAAAAACCACTGCTCCCTTCTAATCAAAATTATTCCATTTATGCTTAATTAGCTTTAATCCAAGTCTACATTTAATGATGGGGATATGACAATTCAACCCATTTGCATATTTTAAATGCCTTTTCTAAACTATACTTTGTAACAGATTTAGAAGAACAGTCTCTTTCTCATGCCAATATACATGGCATAAATCAGGAGGGTACAAATTAGGGGAAAAAGAGAAAAAGAAAACAAGGCTTCTCAGAGCCAGGGATGTGCCCAGGGGGGTGGGATAATTTACCCAGGGGTAGGGGCAATTTACCCGCCACACCACGCACTACAATCCTTTCAGCCCACCAGACCGAGAAGCATTACATCACACTCTCACAATGATAGGGGGAGGTGGCTTTGAGAAAGCAAGTTTTCGGCTTTCTTTCCTCCCTGCTCTCAGGCTTCTAGAATCCTGCATTGAGAGTAATGGAATTTAACTTCGGGCACTGCACAGTTCCGGGGGTTACTAACAATCACACAGCTACTTCTTTAGACGATCCCACACGACCACTTCACAAAAGAAACGCGGCCAAACAGGCAAACACACAAGAGACATCGAATTTGTGTCGAAAAGCCCAGTTATTCGTCTACATAAAAGTAAAAATTTTTTCTTTCGTGAGAAATGGAGGCCAATCTACAGGGAGAACTGATAAAAGAAGTGATTCCTAATTGGAGTGAACAGCTGTTTACATCTTTAAAATTTATCTTGTAAAATAGTTTACAAGATAGTCCTACCATTTGGTTGAAACCACGATCAAAATAAAAGCGCATCTGGCTGCACATTTGAGAACACACACAGGAACCCGTGCAAATGAGCGCGCGCAGAAAAGAGAGCGGAGAGCCACATATCCCAAACCTCCTGGTGTTTGCTAGCACCCAAACCCAGGTTTAAATGTATCGGGTCCTACTTTAGGTCTCACATCTCTCTAGGAAGCACGGCGTAGTTTAAAAAAAAAATTTTTTTTAAAGAAACCCAACAACAACAACAACAACAACCGCTTTCCCATTCTAGGGCTCGTCCTCCCGGATCCTTTGTCGGCCTTAGCAGCCGAAAGAATGCAAACCCATTTATATTTATGCAAATTTTTGCAGCAGATTTAAGGGGGGAGGGGGGTCTGTGATTTTTATAAACCTCTTAATAAATATCAAATTTCCAATTACTTGTAGCTTCGTTTATTTGCAAGATAGAAACCAGGATGAAAATCTACATATAAATTAAAGGTGCAATTAAATCACTTCAAAATTTAAATATTTCACCAAGTCTTTTCCATTTCTAAAACGCCGAACCAAAAGAACATCACAGGTCTGATTTACAGATTTGCGAAATGTCTGAAGCCAGTCTCCATGCTAGACAAATGTCGATTTGCAACAGCACTAGTGAAAACGGTTAGACAAGATCCATATAAATCAACTGGTTTTTTAAAAATTGAAAATATTTACCAACCTCATAAAGTGCAGCAGTGCTTAAATCCAGCAAATTGAGGCATACAAGGTAGAAATGGAAATGAAAAAAGGTCCAAAAAATGAATTCTTTTTGTCTGTCTGTTTTTTTGTATTTTAAATATTCAGAAACCAGCAGAGACTCTGTCGGCCATTTTGGCTTGAACTAACTCTCTCTCACTCACTCTCCCTCTTGCTCTCTCTCTCTCCCCCTCTGTCTCTAAAGGAAGCAGCTTTTTGTGACCTTCAAATAGAGGCGGATCATGTGACTTCGGGTAGGTTTGTCAATCAGGAAAGGGGAGGGAGCTGGGGCCCGAAGCCGTCTTAAAGGGGAAGCGGCCCTTTTCCATCACTTACATTTGTGCAATGGTGTTATCTCACACTCCCCGCCTACAGACGCTGCATGTGAAAGTGGCAACAGCATAAGGGTAACAGATGAACAAAACAGAAAAACCTTTATTGGTTTATGGAAATATGCTCAGTTGCTAACGATTCTTACAGATCCTGGATCTTATCTTGGCTTACTTGCTAGTTATTCTCTGGATGTTCAGGCAAGCACAGGATGGCAAACTGCTCTTTAAAAGGGGGCTTAAGACTTTATCCAAACGATTGACTTCATTTTTAAATTAAGGTGAAATACAGGGCACAACTGATCTGTAGCTAGTTTCTCACATGGAAAAGACTCAAAACAAATGTGTCCAAGTATAAACTGTGAGTAGCAACTCATGTTACATAGTACACTATCTCCCCAATCACACAGCTAGACAGCTGCAGGACAGGGACCAGCTTCCCAGTTCTGAACTTGACACTGTTCGGTGTGAATACATGTTCAGGAGCTCCTCCCCCAACCTAAACAAAAACTATGCTACAGCATACTGAGCTCCTCTGGGTGAGGGCAGGTCTGAGTCATCTTGAAGCTCCTTCCCCACCTGGGGAGTACTGTAGCTCTGACAGAGACCAGGCACTGTATTAAAACCGAACTGGCTTCCCATTGCTCTTAGTCCCTCCTTGTCCCTGCCTGTATTTTGATTGCTCCCCACCTAAGAAGCCCAGGAAGAGCTTGCCTCTCTATCCCTGTGGCTAACAGGAAATAGAACTTCAGTGCCGAAGACAAGTCCCTAGCCTCCCAGGGCCTCAGTTTTCAAAGGTGTGGAAAGCTGAGACTGGACAACAGGAGATAGTTATCTTTAGTTTCTGCCCTAAAGCTCTGCTCTTAGCGTCTTTTAGCAGCTCTGTTTGCCTTATCCTGGCCATCTCAAAACTACTCTGGGTAGGCTTCTTGACTCTCCTAGCATTCTTGATAGCCTTTATTACTTTTTTAGTGTGGTCGCTATGGCGATTCAGTACTTAAGAAAAAAACTGCTTTCCTGGTAGACCATAAACTGCGTAAAGGCAAACACCATATCTTCCTTTCTGCTCTGTGCCGCCCCACACTAAACCCTAAAGAGCAGGAGAGCGAATCAGTGGCCTGGGTCTTCATTAGAAGGGACCGGCTGAGCTTATGGGAAGGAAATCTTCCATGTAAATATAAGAGATTCAGAGGAATTAAAAGCACAGTGTCTAGAAACCTACCTAATTTACCTACTCTGAGCCATGCTTAAGGAACTGCTGTAACTAAAATAGTAGAAAGCATGCAAGAGACACCCATGACAATCAGATTCCTCCCATCTCTTAAAAATCGAAGAAGATGGGGGTTTCCCTATAGTGCTTCTCCACGTGACCCAGCCATGTGACTGATGGGACCATGGGTGCTGGCTTGCCCTAAAGAGACCTGAGAACATGGTCTAATTCCTATCTGTCTTTGTGGTCTTCACATAGTCCTTTCTGTTTCTACTTGGAGAAAAACAGGAAAGGAGCTGTCTCAGGGCAGGCAGAAGCCAGTGCCCACACTATCTGGCAGCCTGGACACGTGGAGTGCCAAATGCTTCCACTGTCTTTGCACAGCACCGAGGGCAAGAGCCAGACTCTGCCCTGACAGCTGAGGTGCAGGCAAAAGCAGGGAAACTCCTAGGATGGAATTTCTGAACATTTACTCTATTTTTAATCCTTCCAATACCTTCCAGATGAGTTACGGAAAGCTTACTTACATGGAGCATGCTCAGTATGTTGAAGTGCACAGAGACTGACTGCACAGCCACCTTGTTTTAATTTGTAATGAACACAATCTCTTTAGGAAACACAATTTTGCTGGGTCTCCACTCCCCAAGGTAGAATATTATTATACAAATGTTTACATGCTTTGCCTTGTACGTGTTAAATATGAGCTGAAGAAAAGTTGGGAAACAGAGCAAATACATTTTAAAAGAAAATATTGGTCCTGTTTCCAAATAATATGCTCAATATCGTTTTCTCCGACCTTCAGGCTTGATTTTTTTGTGTAGTATCTCTAACTTTAAAACAATTAATTCAATCATTTGCATAAAAGAAACAAGTGCTGGGCATGTGTAGCATATGTCTGTAATCCCAGCATCAGGAGGCGGAGGCAGGAGGATTGTTGTGAGTTTTAGAGGCCAGCCTGGGCTACAAAGTGAGTTCAAGACCAGCCTGAACTGCATAGTGAGACCCTGTCTCAAACAAACAAACACACAAACAAACAAATAAACAAAAGAAACAAGTACAGTGCTAAATGCACATTGAAATATGTGATATATTTATTAATAATTAGGCAATTTTTATAATTATTACAGACTAAAGATATAAAAGTAAGAAAAAAATAAGAACATATATATTCAAATTATCTTTCAAAGCTGGCACCTTTGAAATTTACATAACATTACTCAAAATATTTTAATTAGGAAACAAGATTAAAAAAATAATGGAGGGCCGGGGGTTTAGTTCAGTGGCATAAGCACCTGCCTTGCAAGCACACAGTCCATGAGTTTGATCCCCGGTACCAAAAAAATAAATAAACAAATAATGGATTGAACATTTAACTCAAAAATCTAGAATATGCTAAGTGTGGTGGCTCATGATTATAATCTTAGCACTTGGGAGGCTGAGGCAGGAGTATCATTGGGAGTTCAAGGCCAGGCTGCGTTACATAGTGAATTCAAGGTCAGCCTGAACTACATAGTGAGAGCTTGTTTTAAGGGAAAAAAAAATCTAGGGGAAAAAAAAAAAATCACAATTATAAGGATACAAGGATGAATACAAAAATCCAAAAGAGAGGAACACTAATCACTAAAATCAGTATTTGTTTTCTTTTTAAAAACAAAAGTGCATAATCTTTTTGAAAATCCGACCAATAAAAAAGAGAAGTCATAAAAGAATATTACGACCGAGAAAGGGAATATAACTGTAGATTTAGAAAAGAACTTGCACATTGCGCAAGAGTTACACAGAAGTTTATGTCAATAAACTTAAAGATTAAATAACTGGATGACAGTCAAAAAAAGCAGAAAATATCAAAATCAACTTGAGAAAATTTAAGGAAACAACCACCATACCAGAAACCTGTAAGGTAATCAAAGAACTAGCCACTAAAACTACATCAGAGAGCTGGATGAGGTGACCCACCCACCTGGCCACCTGGTGCCTGTAATCCCAGCACTAGGGAGGCTGAGGACATCCATAATGAGACCTGGACTCAAAAAACAAAACAAAAAATCAACCATGTCAGGCCAAATGGTTTTCTAGGTGAATTCTACCAAACTTTTTGAACAGGTAATTTCCACACTATCCTTGCTTTCCCGGCATTTGTGAGGATAAAAGGGCAATCTTAATTTCTTCTGTGAAGCTAACATATTCTTGAAACCATTCTGGATTTAGTACCAAAAACAAAACAAAACTGTAGACCAGTCTTCACTTGTGCAGACAGATGTCAAAATTCTAAGTAAAATATTAGCAAAAAGAAACTACAGCAATTTATCCATGGAGGGCTTCCACAACAATGTAAGGATGGGTAAATGACAATAATATGAAGATGGTTAAATTATCTTCATTTGCTGAACAAATATGTAATAAGTTCTTTGGGTATCAGACTATGTGCTAAATGCCAGAGAGAGAGACAGAGAGACAGAGAGACAGAGACAAAGAGACAAAGAGACAGAGACAAAGACAGAGACAGAGAGCGAAAGAGCAGTAAACCGGAAGTTCTTGTTCACATGCAGCCAACATCCTGATGAGAAAAGGGAATCCCTGACAAGGAAATCAGTTTGATGGACACAGAAGTACCTAGAGAGACTCACTTATGGTAAGACAGGAAAGGTTATGCTCAGGATGACCTTTCAGCTGGGTTGAAAAGCAACAGCTTTTGAGCCTGGTGTGCTGGCTTACACTGATAATCCTAGCACTCTGGAAGTTGAGGCATGAAGAGTGTGAGCTGGAGCCCAGTCTGGGAAACTTAATGACTTAGCATGACCCCATCTAAAATTTTAAACAGGGGTAGGGATGCAGGTCAATGCAAAGGCCCTGGACTCAACTCCTAGGACCCCCCACTCCCCCACTTCCCCCACAGAGGCAACTGCTTGCTTGGTCAAGCAACAGGAGTAATGAATAAGGCCAGTCGGCTCATTCAAACACAAGACTCCAAGGTCTGGACTCATTCATTTATGAAGCCAACAGTCATTATCTGAATACCTCCTGTGTAGTAGGCATTGTGTTAGAATGAGACCTAGTTGATTCCCAAAATGTCTAATGCATGGAGACAGAGAAGCTACTGTATATCAATGATTAAAATACAGCATAGGAGCTGTCGATGTAGCTCAGTGGTAGAGCACTTGGCTAGCATGTGTGAGGCTCTAGTTTTGACTCCTAGAAACACAGAAGAAAAGGAGTGTGTATGTGCATACATATATATGGATGGAGGTGTACATATACATATGTATAAATGACACTATAATAATGAGAACCAGACAAGACAGTGGGTTTGAGCACAGAACCTAGTGCATGCTAGCAAGGTTGTACCAATGAGCCACACAGCCCTAGCTCCTTGAGCTGAATTTCAAAGAGCGTAAGTTTGCAGTACAGAAAAGCTATAAAGGTAAAGTCTTTTCTAAGTTTTACCAACTTCAGTTATCAAACCATGACAACTAGGAAAGCTGACCAAAAAAAAAAAAAAGTTAATGTGAGAAATAAGTGTTTTTAGCATCCTTACCCCTAACAGTCAGAAGGCAGAACACTAGCCAAGACTACCCAGTACTCTGCAACACAACTTGAATGAATTATAGTTGGAAATTAGAATGTTAATAGTTACACTCTCTTCATAATTATAAATTAAAATGTTAGCAGGACTTTACGGATTTTTTTTCCTCTCTGATGTGAGAGTCTCACTGTGTTGCCCAGGCTGGCTTCAAATGAAGACCTCTTGCCTGGGCCTCCTGCGTGGCTGGGATTACAGACATGCTATCACACCCAGAACAGAAAAAAATTTCATTTTAGTCCTCCAAATCAAGGCTGGGGATGCAACTCAGCAGTAGAGCGCTTGCCCAGCATGTGCAAGGATCTGGGCTGGATCCCTCTCAACCTAAAAAAGTCAAAAATAAACAAATAAATAAATAAGAGTCCCTCAAATTCTTTACACTCAGATCTCAAAAGTTACAACTGCATTTGGAGGAAACCTTCCTTAACACTCCAAAATGAATGTGGTACCCAAATATACCACTACCACAGCATCTTCATACCCTATTGTTGTTACCTACGATTTTCCATTTTTCCCTATAACAGGGCCCCAACACCAAGGCCAATGACTGGTACAAATCTGTGGCCTGGTTCTCAGCAGGAGCTCAGCAGTGGTTAAGCAAGAGAACCTTTGTCTGGTTTGTTTTGTTTTGTTTTTCTTGTACATAGGATCGAACTCATAACCTTGTGCTTGCCAGGCAGGTGCTGTGCTACTATATCCAGGCCCCAAGAATCTTTGTATTTACAGCCCTGTAAGGTACTTGAATCATTCCCAGTCTCACAGTTTGAAAAACTGGCTTTCCTGAAAACAATCCCACTGCCAAAACGTCGGGGGGCTGCTGCTTTTATTTCTGTATCTAGCACAGAGGAAGGAATGTTTGTTGAGTAAACACAGAAGCACAGGGATGAACAGATGAATACTAGGAACCTAGGAAGTTCTAGGGCAATGGTGGTGAACCTATGGCACATGCATTGTTTTTCTTTTGAGATAAAAGATGTGAACGCATGACTTGTTTTTCTAAATTAAAATCTCAATATTCAGGTTTAACTGCAGTGTTGGCACTTTGTGACAAGTAAGTGAGTTTTGAGTTGCAGGTTGCACATTCAGTCTCTCAAAGGTTTGCTATCACTGTGAGTAGAAGACACTGCTTGTCCTATAGTTGAGAGCTTAAACACAATCATGAGGGGGGTAAGGATGTAGCTCAGTGAGTACTTGTCTAGCATGAATGAGGCCACTGGTTCATAAAACAAAAAAACACACAGGAGACAGCAAGAGAATGTAAGATAAATTGTTAGCCGTACGGTGCACCTGAAGAAAGGAGGTAGTTACACGTGGCAACACTGCTGAATAGCTTTAGGACTTTAAAGGCAGGACAGGACCAGGGCGGTCAGAATAGTGTATTTGCTGTGAGGCTAATGAAACATCAGCTCTAGGACCTCTCACTTTCAAGGGCCCCCCTAGAGGCCCCAAACAATGTGCCCAATGATCTCTTATCTTTTTCCTCTTACAATATATTTTTTGAAGTGTTTGCTGTGATAAAAAGAAAGTATAACATAAAGTTTACAATTTTAACCATTACGTGTATAATTCAGAAATGTTAAGCATATTCCCATTCTACTTGCTGTCTGGGGGACTGTGGTTATTCTGTGTATCTTATGTATAAAGTCATATAGTGGGGCTGGGGATTTAGCTCAGCGGCATAAGCGCCTGCCTTGCAAGCAGGCAGTCGTGGGTTCGATCCTCGGTACTGATAAAAATAAATAAATAAATAAATAAAGTCACATAGTACTTATCTCTTTTTATAGGTGGTGTGGTTTTCTGAAATAGGATTTCACTATGTGGTCCGGGTGGCCTTGAACCCTTGATCTTCCTGCCTCAGCCTTCAGAATGCTGAGATTATGGGTGTACTAGTATTTATCTTTTTACTTTTGGCTTATTTCACTTAGCATGTCCTCAGGGTTCATCCATGTTGTAATGCATGTCATGATTTCCTCTTTTTCTTTTTGGCAGCAATGGAGACTGAACGCGGGCCCTTGGCTGCCTTCACACTGAGCTATATCCTCATCCTTTTGTACTTTTTTTTTTTTTGGAGACAGAGTCTCACCAGGTTACCACACCTGAGCTCAAACTTGTGCTGCTTCTGCTTCGTCCTCCCAGGATGCTTAAATTACAGAAATCTGCCACTACAATCTAGTTTGATTTCCTTCCTTTTTTAAGCTGTGTAACAGTCTATTGTATGTATATACCACATTTTGTTTTTCCATTCATCTAATGAATGTGTAGACTGCTTCTACCTTTCTGGCAGTTGTGAACAGTGCTGCTATAAACATAGATGTACAGGTGCAGCCAGGCGTGGTGGCAAATGTCTGTTATCCCAGCATACGGGAGGCTGAAACAAGAGGATCTCCATGAGTTAGAGGCCAGCTCGGGTTGCACAGTGCATTCAGAGCTAGCCTAAACTGCACAGCTAGACCCTGTCTCAACAAAATAAAACAAAACACCAGAAAACAACAAGATAGATGTGAAAATATCTCTTTGAAAGACTCTGCTTTC